AACAATATAGTAAAATAGAAAGTATAATGCAGCAATTTAACCATAAAAAGTGAACAGAATTACTTATATTTTGTGAAAAAGTGGAAATATTTTTTTAATTTTTTACTATTTACGGTGACGTAATCACTTTAACTGACACCGCAACAGTAACCGGGGAGGGAAGGTGTGGTTACTTAATACTTTGTTTAGATAAGTATTAAGTAGATGATCAGTTAAGTCACACACAAACACACACACAGGTCTCTATGTGTTTCTGACATGAAGTCATTTCATTGATGAGATCTTTCATTGTGACAGTGATCGGTAATTAATCGTGGGGAGTCTTAACGAGGTGATCCGTAATTAATTGTGGGAGGAGTCTTAACGAGGTGATCGGTAATTAATCATGAGGGGAGTCTTAACGAGGTGATCGGTAATTAATCGTGGGGTGGAGTCTTAACGAGGTGATCGGTAATTAATTGTGGGAGGGTCTCAACGAGGTGATTCATAATTAATCATGGGGGAGACTTAACGATAGGATCGGTAATTAATCGTGGGAAGTTCTAACGATGTGATCGGTAATTAATCGTGGGAGTCTTAACGAGGTGATCGATAATTAATCGTGGGGGAGTCTTAACGAGGTGATTGGTAATTAATCATGGGGAGTCTTAACGAGGTGATTGGTAATTAATCGTGGGGAGTCTTAACGAGGATGTGTCCTACCTAGCCTTGCGCTCCTTCTGTGACTGCGTGACGGCCTTCCATCGTATGACGTTGTCAAGGATGGAGATGTATCGGGGTTTCCTCGCCTCCTCCTCCTTCTCCTCCTTAGACGCGTCCGCACCCTGTAGACATGACAACCACCCATCGCTGCTCATTCAGGGTCGCGCAGAATCCACGCTCACAACCCCCACCTCCTATAGAACACCCCCAACCCTTTACAAATAACCCCACCCCTTACACTTACAGACAATTTCCCCTACCTTGCAAACAAACCCCATCCCTTACAAACAACCCCACCCTTACAGACAGCTCCTTTATAATGCCCTTGTATATCACCTCCACACCCTTACAAACAATCATCTTTATTATTGACACTGTTCACTCTAATAGATACCCCCATCCCAAACTTTTACACATAATTGTAACTCGTATGCATAAGTGACTCTGGCAATCAACTTCCACTCATACAGGTAATCCTTCTAACCGATAGTTTCACTAGAGAGGGTCTGTAGCAGGCGCACCCATACCTTCTGTTGCTGCTCCTTCTGTTGCTGCTCCTGCTGCTGCTGCTTCTGCTGCTGCTGCTGTATTTGGTACTGTTGCTGCTTTTGCAGGGCGAGGAGTCTGGCTTGTATCTCTGGGGTCTGTGGTTTCGCAAGGGCTTGCTGCACAACTGTAACATGTTGTACCAACACGTGCCAATCATACAATCATACGAAATGCTTCAATGTTTTAACTATTATTTTAACTGCTCAACACTATTGCATTTATGATATTTATTCTCCATGAACAAGACTGTCTTCAGCACATGTATTCTTATTACATGCAATTAAGATTTAATAATAATAATA